CAGCTAAGGGGAGGCGGGAGTTGTCCCAGATACCTTGACTAGGAGAGAGTGAAGGGACCTACGGCACAAGAGGAGGGATCACCTTTAGTGAAGAGGATGGACGTTATTTACAGGAACGGAGAAAAGGCAGGTTGATAAATGTGGGGGTGGAAATTATGAAAGTTTTCTCTTGATTGACTCAATTTTGTCAATTAAATAGGGAGAAAGCCGTAAGTTGAGCATGAGAATTGGGAAGGAAATATTGGGGATTCAAGGAAAAGGAAGTATGAACTATTATCTAAAATACTTTCCCTAATCTTTTAAAGTCATGGCACACAGAAAACCATGAGAATATTTGGGTGGCACACTTGGGTATTTATGAGGGCGTTTGGAGCTCTGGACAAGTTTATTGGGGTAGGAGGCAACTGGCTCAGGTCTTCTGCTTGCCATAGGTCCTGCCTAGATGTTCACATGGGTAACAAAAGTAATATCTCCTGGCACCCTGGTTCTGTTTGCCATATGGCTTTGAAGTAAGATATGGGAATGAATGGACCAGAGTAAAGAGATAGCAAGGTATCGCGAAAGGATCCATGTGCAGTAGAGTTCATGAATTTGAAAAGACACTGGTCAGGATGTTTGTATGTTTTTTAACCATCTTCAGCTACACAGGTATAGTCATACAGCAGGTGGAGAACTGGATTTAAGTAGGTTTGGAGTTATGCCAAGCAAATACAACAGGAAGAGAGAGGGGATGAGGGAGTTGAGGAGAATGCAAAGGAATGACTTAAGTTTGGAGCAGGTAATATAAACTAGGTGAGGAGGGAGACCAGGACACTGAATGGGTGAGGAATATTGAAAGGTGAATGGTTGACTGGACTGTGAATTATGTGGGGTCTCAAGGTTTTTGGAATTGGGATACCAAAAGGAAGGAGATGATCAAAGAATGGAATGCTTGATCATGGATGGGATGCAGATATTGGTAATGACAAAGCCACGGTGCTGCATGAGAGTGATAGCTGAAGAAAGGTGGAGAAGAGGTTGATGAGCTGAGAGGTCAGGGTATCAGAGGAATAATTTACATTGATATTAAAATCACCAAAAGTGATACCAGCTGATGGTAACAGAGCACATGGAGATAAAATCTTCAACAAGCGAGGGAGAGTAACTCTAAAGAAAGCTATGTGACCATAAAAAAGAGCCACTATTGTCTGCTGATAGAGTCTGATGTCAGAACTTCAAAGAAGGGCATTTGTGGAGGAGGGAGGTACAATGTGTTGGTGGGATAAGGAGGTCGGGGAGGCCATCATCCTCCACCTCTGGGTCTGGTGGTACAAGATGTATGGAAAGGAGAACAATCCACTTGAGGGCACCAGGAAAAGCGGTGTGCTCACAGAGAGCCAGATTTTCATTAAAACCATTTGGAAAAAGAAACCGTTGGCCGTGTTTGAAGATGCAGAGATTTTTCTGAGAGGGCTGTGATTCCAGAGGGTACAATGGGAGGATATGAGGAGTTGGGAGTTTGGGAAATCTGAGAGATGAGATCAGATTGGGGGTACGTAGAGTGATGGGGATGAGAGTTCAGGTGATGAAGTGATGGGTATTGCTATTACTGCTGCTGTTACGATTACTGGTGAGCAACAACAATTCTGAAAATTCATTCAGAATTTTCTACCTAAGCAGCGACAGGTTATCTAATGTCACTTTTCAGATAATGTATTTTTTTTCCTAAGACAAAATATTTTCTCATAATCTAGCTGAGAAAGCTGCCTGGCCTTCCTTTAACCCTTTCTTGAAAATTTCCTCTTATCAATTCCAGAAATGAGAAATGAATCTCATCTAATTCCCTGCCTTAAGATAATTCATTCTAGAAAAGCGATGATCCATTTTCTTCAAGACTCTTTTTAAAGCCTCTTTATTGAGTCTCCCTTCTGATTTGAACATTGATCCAAATCTTTAGCAGCCCTTATTCCATCTTAGTGTTCCGTATGAGAACATGAGCCTTTGCTCTGGAGGTGAGGGCGGGTGTATACCAGTGTATGTGAGTGTGAGTATGTGTGTGTGTGTGTGTGTGTGTGTGTGTGTGTGTGTGTGTGTGTTGCCAGGATGGGAGTGGTGGTGTCCTGAATGCTCTTTAGACCTGACCTCTGTGGACTTCCATGGTATTTCCAATTCCTGTGACCTGGTGACTTTGGGTGTGACTCACCTTGACTAATGTTCTTTTCAAGAACACTGTGCACTGAAGGACAGCTAGGAAATTCTAGGAGTCCAAAGTCTAATGAGGAGCAATTTCCCTCCCTCACAGCATTTTATTGGGCAACTTTTGTTAGCACTTGTTTTCCAAGTTACCAGATTACTCATTTCAGAGGTCAACTACCCAGAAACTTTCTTCTAAGCCCACAATAAGAGGCAAACAATAAAGACAATCAGTATGTAGGATAAGGGCTGGCATGTGGGGGGTCCCATCTTGGCTGTGATGCCGCAGGGAAGCAGTGGGGAAGAGAGAAGCCAGCCTTCCGGCAGGCAATGGAATAATCCTGCTGCAACATCCCACCTCACATCTTGGTAGGTATATTAGTTGGGCTTTTCAAGGTCACAAGAAGGAATCTTATAAATAACATATCACCTTCTTTGATGGGATTTTGTCAGAATATGTGAGAACTTAGGGTAGGATGGGAAATTTCCTCATCGGCTACACAATTCCTCCTGGTCCAAGAGCCTCAGAGCTGGGATGAGGAAGCACAACAGATTTCTCACCTGTAATCAAAGGGAAGAGAGGTACTGTCTTCTCTTTTTTCCCGTCCCACCACAGAGTCTGAGTCAGCTCTCAGCTTTTCACTGTGAGGCCCCCCAACTAGAAATCGTTCCCCAAAGTTCACCTCTTTGCTGGTCAGCTTCTCTAGCATTGGGGAGTATTGACCTGAGGCTTTGGGGATCCACAAACCCCCCTGGAATTATATGCCCGAATGAGAGTCTGTTCCTATGTGCATTTTCTTGGGAGTTGATCACCCATTGCCAAAGGGGCCTTAATCCTTGCTTCAGTTAACCATGGCTCAGGTAACAGATTTGGGCTTTACTCATGGCCCATGGCAATGCAGGCGGGAATGAGTTCATTCGAGTCATCACCCTCAATAGGGGTCCATGACCTGGCAGCATCTGGAGGCTTCAGAGCCTCCTCCTGCAGCTGGTCACAGAACAAATTGTGCAAGGTAATTCTCTCACCTCCCCAGATTGGATTCTGATATCTCCTTCTGGTCTTTCCATTAATCACAGAAATTCTCCCATCTGTCTGCATGGGCTCATACCCACCCCCTGACTCAGGGACAAATGTAGAATGGTTTTCTTGTGTGGTTCTATGGCCAAATAAGTTTCTTTTACGCTGTTCAAATAGACTCTGTATATGCCTTAACAATGGTCGCCATAGTTGCCACACTCAGTTCTCATTTCCTCCTGAGTGATCAAGGTTGAATAAGTGAAAGCCTTTCCAGGATTTTCACTTTTTAGAGAGCAGACAGTTTAGATACCAATCTCCCACACTTTAGTGGTAAAGATTCTCCGACTGTATATACGGGAATTCCAGGCAATCCTAAAGGTTTCTCTGGCCCATGCCTCTGTGCAGAGGTAAACTTTTAACCACCTGCAGCAGGGTTTTCAGTATATCTGGCATTGACTCAGACCCAATCAACAGCATTATCAAAATAAATGGATAGCAAGTCTGAAAAGAAAGTGTAAATGCTGTTCTTCAACCCCAAAGATGACATGGATGACGTGAACTTACGTTGCTTGTATAGTCAGCTATTCCAAGTCGAATGCACTTATCTCTTGATGTAAACGATCACTTTCATAGCCAGGGCTCTGCCTGGGCTTCAGGGCCCTGAGTTAGAGAAGATGGAAGGAAGGTTTGGGTGGTGTTTGTCTTCCGAGTGAAGCAGCACGTGGTTCAAGTTCAACCTGATGTCATTAACTCTGTAAGTGAATTAACCAGCAGCACCTACCAAAGCTAACCAAAGCCAGGAAACAAAATTTATTTTGCCAGAGTTTTCAGTTCGCTGACATTGAAAGGGTTTAAGACTTGATAATGTGAATGTACTGTAAGGGTCTTTACAAATTTTTAAGACATCTTTTGAGAGTAGGGATGATCACTACTCAGTTCCCTGGGCATCAAGGGTCATTGTTAATTTTTGCAGAAAGTTTCTCATGCAAAGACCAATGTAACTGTAAGAAATACTCTTATTTTTCTTCCTTTGAGAAATCTGAACTCTTTTAAAAAAGTGAATGAAAATTCATTTCAGTTGAAAAGGCATTTAGGGCTTTCATTTGTATTTTCTGCATTTGTTTTGGAGGATTTTTTTTTAATGTTTATCGATACCAGGTCTTTTATTATAATAGACTCTTCTATTAAGGTAAAGAAAAAAGCCAATATTTCAATAACATGCTCTACACAAATCTTGAATACAGCTCCAGGAAAGACACGTAAAACATGATGATTACATTTTACTTTTCTCTTTGGATTTGGAAAGGGTCAGAACAATGCTTATATTGAATCAAGAAGAGAGAAAACCCTTATGAAGGAAGACAGATCAACACAACCAGCTGGCATTATGTTTATCTTCTCAGCAATTTTTTTTTTTTTTTGCGGTACGCGGGCCTCTCACTGTTGTGGCCTCTCCCGTTGCGAAGCACAGGCTCCGGACGCGCAGGCTCAGCGGCCATGGCTCACGGGCCCAGCCACTCCGCGGCATGTGGGATCTTCCCGGACCAGGGCACAGAACCCGTGTCCCCTGCATCGGCAGGCGGACTCTCAACCGCTGCGCCACCAGGGAAGCCCTCAGCATTTTTAAAAAACTTATTTTGGCTCTACTTCTGACCTTACCTTTTATATTGTTGTTCATGTAGTTTTCAGAGAGCTTGGTTCTTTTCCTTTTATTTGAACACACATCTTATTTGTTGGAAAAACTTCCATTACATTATCTTGTCAGCTCCCACCACACTTTCTTTTCGTGGCTCTTGCTGTCTAGGTTATAAGAACCCACGGCAAACACGAGAGGCCCCGAAGGAATGTGTGATGGATCTTCCTGAAACGTTATTGCCTGGATCCAGTGAGATCTTCGCCTCTGGGAAGCAGCGGGAAAAGGTAGGTTGGCCTGTGCACGGTCTCTCATAGTGGATGGGTTTTTCTTTAGAGTAACCATGTCAAGTAGTACCTCAGGGACTAACTGATACAAAGCTGAGGGGTTGGCAGAATGTTCTCAATAAATGTTAAATAAGCAACTCTCCTGCAGGTACTTCTTGGTTGGTATTTACCTTATGATTTCCACCTGTTGCTGTTCAGTGTATCCTCTCAGAGCCTAGGAGGTTGTCTTCTATCTCTCCCTCAGGACAAATGGGTTATTGTTTTCAAGCTTTTTTGCTATGAAGACAAAAATAATAAAAACAGCCTTATTTCAGTGATCAGTTTTATTACCTCTAATGAACAGTGATGGCCAGTGTGACCGTGCACCACTACATTAGGTTAGCATGGCCAACGGCACATATGAGACCATCAGCTGTCCCTAGGCAGGCTGCTTCCCTTTGGAGTGCAGCCCCAGGTGGACCCTGACACCTCTTCAGACTTGGCTTTAGTTGGAGAAGAGCTCAGAGAGAATAGAGTCTATTTTCATGCACTTTTAAAACCCAAACGGTTGTTGTAATTAAAATACTACCATGCACTGGCATTTTACGTTAAAAAAAAAAATGATACACAAGTTAGAGGAAAAAAATATAAAGCAATTCCATCTTCTAGGTTTGACTTAAGCATCCTTTTTCCTGAAATTAAGGATTATTGAGCTTTGCTAATGTGGCATAGAAAGGTGAAAGAGTTAAATGCCCAGGCGCTGCATCGGGGGACTTGTTTAATAGTGTGATGCACCCTGGGAAGATCCTCACTTTTCAATGTGGAAGTTAACCCTCCACCCAAAGGATCAGAGAAGAAAAGCACCTCCCCCGCAAATCCAGGTGGAATGCATTATGTCGAACCATATGATATTGCTGGTATTGACCATTTTTGCCGGACAAAAAGAACAATTTCGTATTATTTAACACAAGAGAATCAGAAACTTCTATAAGAAGGACTGTGACCATTTCCACTTTTTCCTTTCTCATATGCTTGAGCAGAAATTCCCAGTAAGGAGTAAAACTTGCTTTGTTCCCAGGAGAGACAAGGAATTGTTTTTTCCTTCCTCATTCTCTGCAGTGTCACAAAATATCGTGAAGTATCCCATGAGACCTGAATATTATGCCTGCTCTCTCCTGGAATCCAGACTTCTCCATCCAGATTGGCCTTAACTTTCTCTCCTAATTAAGCCTCATATGTTTGCTGGGTTAGACGGAGTGTGGGGACAGACATGGGGGTGTTTTTCTCTACATATATGAAGTTACTTTTCCATAGGATAGGCTTAATTTTCTCAATGTTTTTTAATGTCTTGGGTGAAGGAACCCCTTCAGGTATTGTTAGTGATATATATCTATAACGTCAACTGATAATTTCAGTTAAGATTGTTTTACCCAATGAGTGTAGGCCAAGTAAGCATCATTCCTTACATACTGCTGTTTAATGAGTGTGTAGCTGTCTAGGTGTGTTACATGTTACATAAATCTTGGCTTTCCTAGAGGCTGTCTCAGGATACATTCATATGACTCAACTACTTCTGTGTTCTTGACTTTCTGTCAGTAAAGCTAATAGCAATGTGTGTTTGCTCACCTCACCAGCTGTTACACTGAGCACTGATTTCCCTGGAAATAGATTCTCATTTCTTCAGGCAAATGTTTAACAGGCCAAGCCAGTTTGTCATTAGTTTCTCACCTTGAACAATCTTGTCTTTTATAGAATCTCCAACATTCAAAATGGAGGGACTTCTAAACCACTATCAAACTCTTAACTGTTTTTTGATATTGACACCATTATATCTTTTGATTAATAACATTTTTTTAAAAAAGAGAGACGGTGTATTATAAGTTTCCTAGGGATGCTAAAACAAAGTAACACAAACTGGGTGGATTAAAACAACAGAAACTTACTCTCAGAGTTCTAGAAGTTCTAGAAGTCCAAGATCAAGGTGTTGGCAGGGCCATGTTCTCTGAAGGCTCTAGGGGAGGAGACTTCCTTGCTTCTTCCTAGCTTCTGGTAGGTGCCAGCAATCCTTGGTGTTCTCGGCTTGCAAATGCATCACTGTAGCCTCTGTCTCCTTTATCACATGCCGTTCTCCCTGCGTATCTTTGTGTATCGGCATTTCCCTCTTATAAGGGCACCGGGCACTGGATTAAGTGCCACCACCTTCGTCCTCAACTTAATGTGATCACTTCTGCCAAGACCCTATTTCCAAATAAGGTCACACTCGTAAGTTCAAGTGAATTTTGGACAGACACTATTCAACTCAGTACAAGTAGTCTTGAAGATATTCTTCTTAATATGCTAAATCCTTTTAAACTAAATGTGGTTCAAACAAATACCTAGACAGAAATAATCACCATCACATTCCCAACTGCCACACTTCCATTCATTTAACAAATACTTATTGAGAGTCTGTCAGAGGCCACAGACAGTGGTGGGCACTAGGAAGACAGTGAAGAACCAGAGACACGAGGTCCTTGTTCTCAAGGAGCTTACATTCTAGTTGGGGGAGAGAGATACAAGTACAATTTCACTGGGCTCACCGGCAATATATTTTGAGAACTGACTATGTGCCGGTCACTGAGGATGAAGAAGGGGAAGAAAGAGCAAAAGTCCATGCCCTCATAGAACTTACTTTCCATTGGTAGAAAAACAATTCATAAATTAAGGAAGCAAAATAATTTTAGCTAGTGATAAATGCCATGAAGAAATAAAAGGCAGAGCAAAGTGGTGCAGGGAGTTCTTTTGTTCTGAGCCTGAAGGAAGCCAGGATATGAGTCTCCTGAATGTGTAAGTTCAGTGTTCTAGTGGGAGGGACTGGAGGTAAAGGAAGTTCCTGGTACATTTAGAAACAGCAGGAGGCCACTGTGGAGTCAACCAGGAAAGAATGGAAAGAAAAGGATTGAGCAGTGGTAGCCTGGGGCTCAGATAGAGCCTGGTAAACCATCGAAAGATACTATGGCTCTAAACCTCTGGAAAGCAGTCTGTGGGTTTTGAGCAGGAGAGTAATTTGAATTTACTTGGGTTTGATAGGGAACCCCCTTGGCCATTATTAAAAATTTTTATTTATTTTTTATTTATTTTTATTTTTGGCTGTGTTGGATCTTCGTTGCTGTGCACGGGCTTTCTCTAGTTGGGGCGAGCAGGGGCTACTCTTCGTTGCGGTGCGCGGACTTCTTATTGTCGTGGCTTCTCTTGTTGTGGAGATTGGGCTCTAGCTGCGTGGGCTTCAGTAGTTGTGGCACATGGGCTCAGTAGTTGTGGCTCGTGGCTCTAGAGCGCAGGCTCAATAGTTGTGGCTCACAGGCTTAGTTGCTCTGCAGCATGTGGGATTTTTCCCGGGCCAGGGATTGAACCCATGTCCCCTGCATTGGCAGGCGGATTCTTTACCACTGCGCCACCAGGGAAGTCCCCCCTCCCTTGGCTATTGTGAGTAATGGGTGGAAAGGGACTCAGGTTTGGGAGGGATTTTGACTACAGAGCCAATGGAATTCAGATAATGAAAAGTGCTGTGAGGTAAACTTGGCATGAAGGAGAGGAGGGGTGTGCAGGAAGGTAATTCTGTTAGGCTGCTAGTAACCAGGCAAGGTCTCCCTGAGGAGGTGACATCTTAGCTCATACATGAATGACCAGAAGTAGCCGGCCTTCTAAAAACCTTGAGGGAACAGAAATTGGAAAGCCTTAAGCCCAGTGTGTTGAAGGAAAGAAAGGACAGCTAGAACCTTGATGATTCCAGCCTGGGAAGCCATCAGATGCACCGTAGCAATCAAAGGGAAAGAGGCAGGGCAGCGTCAGGTGGGCCCCTGTGGGTCCTGTCTTCATTTCCTGAACTTCTTCAGAGTACCAGCGGGGACACGAGGCTCTGTGGCTGCCTTCCAGGAACAGGATACTGTCCCTGGCCCCTGAAGTCGCTGTTTGTGGATCGTGGGCTCCCACTGCCATTGTAAGGCACAACATTCCTCAATGTAAGACGAAGCAGTGACCACTTTGTGAGATATGATCATTTAGAGGATGTCCCTCTGCAAAGCATTACAACTAACTCTAAAACATCTATGCCTTTCCCACAGCAAGACCATTTCCAGGAATCTGTCCTATAGAAACAAAATTATTAATACTTAAATACAGAGTGTAAAGATTTTACTGTGCCGTTGATTATAATAGTAGAAACAACATTCAAAAAACTGAAACAATCTCCTTCACTGTTTTCTCAATTATTGACTTTTTAATTAAAAAAAAATTTGGGCTGACTGTGCATTCTAACTTCATTCTTCTAATTCTCCTGATTAATATTTTCGTATACTTAGTTTTGTCAAAAGCAAATTGAAATATAGCAAAATTTGGATGAAACTTACACCTGATACGAAAAAGCTTTATTAAAGCACAAATGAAAAGAATTGAAGCTACATAGTGGCTTCTTACTGTGGTTCAATATATAATGACCCACTTTGACAGATAAATGGCTAATGTTTCACAAAATTGTCTATTTTCTCAGTGAAGCGAGATCTCTCTTCTTTGCTCATGAATTACAAATCTGTTCTGATTGCTGGTAATATTGTGGATTAGGTGATTAAATGAACAGTTGAATGATAAGGCTTTCCTTGTATGCAACCTAAGAAAGTAAGTGGAAGGAAAATACACCCATGACTCAAACCCCAAGTTTCTTTTAAGGAAAAAGAAGTCACATCTTGGACTTCCCTGGTGGTGCAGTGGTTAAAAATCCACCTGCCAATGCAGGAGACACGGATTTGATCCCTGGTCCGGGAAAATTCCACATGCCGTGGAGCAACTAAGCCCGTGTGCCACAACTACTGAGCCTGTGCTCTAGAGCCCGTGAGCCACAACTACTGAAGCCCACATGCCTAGAGCCCGTGCTCCACAACAAGAGAAACCACCGCAATGAGAAGGCTGTGCACTGCAATGAAGAGTAGTCCCCACTCGCCACAACTAGAGAAAGCCCGTGCGCAGCAACGGAGACCCAGTGCAGC